CATTCTCCTGTCTCGCCTTATGAGTTTTACGGAGCGCCCGGAGTCCAGCTCACCATGAAGCAACTCTAAACAAGCGCGGGAGATGGCGGAATCGATAGTGTCTACTGACAGGTTACGGCCACGCCCATGAAGCATGGCGACCACCACGTAGGCCGCATGCAGTTCGCGCCCGTTTCTTTCCTGTGCATGGCAAGCTGGAGGGCAAGCTAGAGACTCGGGAGTGGGTACAATGAAGAAAATACTTGTACTGGATTTCTAGTTGCCACAGTATTAGAGTGCTGCACTAGATACATTAGCGTACCCATAAAGTTCGCTGGTGATGGCCCTGGACTAGCCAGCATCGTTCAAATTGATCGCGACAGCACACACAGCGACATACACAGTGACACGTACGACGACACACTGCGAAACACACGAGTTTACCAGAACCCAGGACATTGAAACCCTTCAATCAATTTACTTATCATATTTCTAGGGAATGTTTGGGTTGTGAAGTATCACGACGACGAAGTGTCCTGTCGGCTTCCTGTCCCTGACCCATGGGTGCCGCTCACCCTCCTCCTCTCTGTGACGATATTTCAGTCCTTTCAAACTACGGTTTTTACCGTGGGTCATCATCAAAATTACGGCATTGCAGCCGATCGAAAACCTGGGATGATAATACAGCTCTCGGCTGACGACTCTCGTGACACTTGGATCTGGTTTGCTGGCGACCTCTCGGCGTGTGATGCTTCCGCACAACTTCGTCCTGCCGCCCCGCCACGGACTCGTCGACGCTTGTTTCCTCGCGACGATTGAGACGCATGTGACTGCAACTCGTCAAGCTCGAATTGAGAGCGGTCACGGCGAAGGCTCGCGTTCAACCGGCGCGTTCCTCGGCCAGCATTCTGACTAGGCTGTCGGCTCAGACCACGGCCTCGCGCTGGATGCCTGCCTTGACTCCGTTGTACAGGCTCGGCTTCGGCATCGTCATCTTCCGTATCGTCAGCGTCACTTCCTGGATTGGAGGTGTAATCCGCGATCTTGAGGTATCGCGGGACCTTGAGCTTCTTGTTGTCGGCGTTCAGGCGCGGCCTGCCTCGTGCGCTTCTGACAATAGCCGGGTCGCGAATATCAAGTAGCTTATCCTCGGCGTTCTAGCAGGCTGTTAATACTCAAGTCTTGTGACAGTGGCAAGCTGACGTACCAACGGCTTCTCGAGCCACCAACGCATAGCAATCTGGCTCCGTCTCAGAGGCGTGCCGTTCATAAGGCAATCAAGAATGCGATGGCTGCATGGTAGGCCGTATTGGCGCTCGAAGTTGCCCGTGCAAGGACGCGAAGTTGCCTGTGCAAGGGAGTAGCGGTTTGGGCTCGCGCTGATCAGGCAGGGCGGCGAGGGCAAAGAGATACTGCCTGGCAAGCAGGTCAATGGCGTGATATGTGATCTGCAGGTTGAGCTTGTCAAGCCATGCCTGCTTGAGGTACTGATCACGCTGACGCTGAGTCTGTCTTGCAGCCTCTTGACGATAGGACCGAGACTTGTTATCAATCATCGTGACAAGGGCTTGGTGGAGGTAAAGGAGGTCTCCCGTGCCTGTCACAAGGTGAGACTTTACGTCTGCATGGGCGGTCTCGGTAGGGCTATTGACCCTTTGACCGAAGTTCCGATAGCGGTCAATGTAGCATTTCACCCACTGCTTGCGCCACGGCATATATTCCTTTTGGATATATCGCAGGATGTGCCGTTGCTGCCTGCCGAAGGTTTCGACAAAGAACTTCCACGAGTCCTTGAACGCATCGTGATCGACGGCATAGACCACGGCATGGAAGGCTTTGAACATCCCCTCACGGCACCACGGCTCGGAAGGCTTTGAACATCTCCTCACGGTTGTAGTCATCAGAAGGGTTCGCAAGCTCGTCCTCTGCCTCGTTTTGTACACGGCCCCGGGCGACAACATCAAGGTCTAGCTCTGGCACGAGCTGCTCGGCAGTTTTGTTTTGTCGCTTGGATCAACAGAAAGGGTGTTTCCGTCATTATCAAGCTCAACAATAATGGCGTCGTGATCTTCGCCCTCAGTGTCCTTCCAGCGGGCGTTAATTTTAGCCCGGACGTTGGCCAAGATGTGATATACGCATAGCTGCTGTTGGGCACCTGGAAAGGTGTTCGTGAGGGCTGTGCGGAGAGCCTGTTCCTTGTCGGTGATTATAACCTCCGGCGTGTCTGCCCCAATGTCGATGCGAAGCTCGTCAAGCCGGTCACATAACCACTGGAAGTGGTGCTCCTTTTCGCCGTTTATAAGGCCGAAGGCGAAGTTGGCCAGGGTCTTCTGATCCATCACACCTGTGGCTTGAAATAGGTGTAACCCAAAGCGATTGGTCTTGTATGTGTTGTCCAAACCTAGCACCTCCGGAAACTTCTTCCACATCATGCGGCACCAGTCGTAAGTCCAAAAGACGGCACAGACGCGGTCCTCTTCATCGCGCAAGGTTCTGACCCTAATATCTCCGCTATCAAGCTCCTTGACGAAGGCCTGGGTAGCTGTAAGGCCGTTAAGTCGCTCGCGTTTGATGGCTTGACGATCATTGTAGATATCCCGTGTGCGGAAATAATGATAGCCTGGGCTGTCGGCTTTTCTAACAATGCTAACCATCTCGCGGGCCCTAATGCCATTCTCGTTGGCTAGCTCTCGCTCCTTTTGTTGCTGAGCAACCGTGCGGCGGCGATAGACAATGTGCGCCGATGGATCAAGGGACTGTCCGTGGTTATGCTGGCCATGAACTACCGTATACGTCCACTTCTTGTTAGACGATTTGGTGGCCTTGGCCGTGACTTTTACGGGACAATCAAGCTTCTGTGATGATGGCTTCCTGAGTCCCGAGCTTTGTGACGTCCGTCGCGGGCCGCGGTCGCACTTGAAGTCGATGTAGCTTGGCTGGATGATGCCCCCGATATCCCGCCTTGAGGAGCTAGAGGCCTTCACTATTGCGGCGCCATTAGAAAGATGGAAGTTGCGGAGGAAGGCAAAGAGGCCATCATAGGTGTCAAAGAGTGGCGATGGTGGCAGTTGTGGGATCGTAGCCCCAGTGTAGTCATCGTCTGTTGGCCCGTTGACGGTAGCAGCTGCGGTGGCCGTAGTGGCACGGCCTGGCGAGGGACTTTGTGCGTTGAGAAGGCGGCATATGTCCATCTTGACACGCGTGGTGAAATCATGCATCAGTGGACGTCACGACTGTGTGGTGGGGATGACGGCTTCTATTTATGCGTAGAGAGAGATTGACGATCCTCGATTTAGCTGTTTACCTTTTCCTCATTCGGTTGCACTGGAATTGACTGTCGCAGGCTGATCGGACAGGATTGGGCTATGGTGATAGGAGGGGGGTGGGTGAGTCAAAGGTGAGACACATATCTGTGCAAATAGAGATTTGTATCTGTGCGAATAGTAATACTCATGTTATATTGGTTTTGTTCTGTTATACATATGTTGTTGCGGATGTGTGTCTTACTGGCGATGGAGCTACAGTCCGACCTTGCAGACTAACCCCTTCTGTTCTTTTGTCAGTCGGCGTAGCATGCCGTGTACTCTTTTGGGGCGTACTGGACATTTGGGAAGATCTGCTGAGTGTGACCCAAGGCAGTTGGCGCATTGTTCAGTGTTTACACAGTCGTCAGGTTTGTGGCCAAGCGTGCCACACTGGAGACAGCGCCCCTCCCGGCAGCAGGAGTGTCGCGTATGGTAGTCCCAGCAGTTATTGCACTGGACGGGTGGGCTAGAGTTTTCTATTAATCTAGCAAGTCTGCTTGTTCCAAATATGGCCCATGGTCTCTTGGTTTGTTCGAGAAAGGACACGAGCAGGGTCTGCTTAGTCGGGTCGCTTGGGTTGTTTCGGGATGGGCGTATGATAATGGGAGTCTGGCAAGTCTGGCAAGTCTGGCAAGCAATTCCCATTCTGGACCGCCTCGTCAATATTCACTCCATTGGTCACAGATTCTGCGTGGGCGTTCTGACATTATGTATATGTATCAGTTCGTGCTGACTTCCACAACAGTGGCTCCGAGATCATCAGCCCATTCCGCTCGTCGTTCTAGGATTAAGTTGTGTGTGGCCATGTCGACCGGCAGGACAGCCCACCCAGAGTCGACCGGCATAGCTTGAGGGATCTTTGCCTTGGTCAATGCCGACTTTTGCGGCGATATGAGTTCGGATCGCATAGCGGTCATGGTTTCTAGCTGGGGCTTCAACTGGTAGTCGTATGAAAACCCGGAAGTCTTCTTTAGATAGGGCCGGGGTGGTTGATTGTTCTTGGTGACGCGGGTAGGCTGCTGTTGTGGTCGAGGTTGTTTCGGAGGAGAGGATGGGAGATCTTCGTGGCAGGCCGCGACGCTGCTGTACGTATGAGTAGGAGCGGACTTGGCGTTGCCAAGGGATTGATCCCAGAATTTTAGGAAGCTGTTGCAGAAGTGCTGGGCAAGGTTTCGCTCTTGTTCGGATGTAAACTGCTTTGCGGTCTCTTCGAATGACTGGCAGAAGGCGCTGAAAACTGCGAGCTTGGCATTACATGCTTCCACTTTCTGGGATCCTAGGATTGAGACTGGTTGTTGTTCCCTGGGTGAGAAGAGGCCGGGGAAGTCTCGGGGGACAGCCTGTTGAACCCCTTCCGCGGCTCAGGCAAAAGAAACGGCCTTTAGTGGTGAATACAGCGTGCGGGCTGCACGGCCGGTTCCGAGATAGCCAATTGGGCGGTTCACGACGGCGGGACTGTTTCGGAGGAGGGCCTCAAGCCAGATCGGTTGGGGTGTGAACTGGGATGTCAGGCGGACTGGTGGTGGGCATTGCCATCGCCGCCGCCGAGGGCTGCGCAGAAGCGCGAAAGTAATAATACAGTGGAAGGTGCTCGTTCGGTTACTGCCTCTTCTTTTGTTCTTCCGCAGGATAAGAGATGTTGAACATAACACAGCATCAACGTGCAGGCTCCAGCTTGCGCCTTCCATAAATATCCTGCCTTGGCGGCATCTCTAGGTTACTTCCAGCTTGCGCCTTCCATAAATATCCTGCCTTGGCGGCATCTCTAGGTTACTGAATCAACGCCCTCTTTTCATCTGTATTCCGCTTGTGACGTTCAACAGAACATGGGCCACAAAGACAGCACATTTGGTGGGATAGAACTATCCCTTTCTGTCCGGAGGAAGAGGACCGTAGGCCATCCCTCCCATTTCTGGCCTCAACCCGCATCAGGTGTGATGGTCAATAAACGAGGCAGCCAACCATAGTTACATGGCTTTGTTCTATTCGTGCTGGGGTTGCGCTTGGTCTAGCGTTGTCTCAAGAATCCATGTCGCCCTACTGAGGTAGGTATAAGGTACAGATAAGGACGAGTAGAATCTCGGAAATGGTTTTTCTTCTTCGAGATTGCTAGTCTCTGGAACAAGCCAGTCACACCCTCCGTCGGTGACTGGAACAAGGCAAGACTTACATGCCGGACCGCAGATGTAGCTTACACGCACACCCTCTTCTAAAATTACCCTTCCTGTATTACATGACAGGTACTAGCACGGTGATTGGCTTCGTCACATTGCCTTGCATATGCGCCGTCAGTGACAGCCGGAAAAGTATCCCATTCGCCCTCACCGAAAGATAGGGCCAGAATGATCTTGACTTCAGGCCGTCACACTGTTTGGTGTCCTGCAATGCGGACTCGGTAAAACCACATTTCAGAGGCAGAGATGCACCTCGAACATCCATTCTTCTTCTCGTGCGGCTGAGCCCCTTGTTGCAGCCCGTGAATCTTTCAGGATGAATGCCCAAAAGACGGCTGGCCCGACCGCCATTTTCAGAGGAGAATAATGGGAACAGTACTATCCAGGAGGATGCTGTTGCTGTGCATTGAGGTACATCAGCCCTTCGGGCAACAATGCACGGGGAAACGCGGCCGATTTAAAGGCTCTGCCACAAGAGCCGCCTGCCAGCGACCAATACAGCTAGCCTCTTCGCAGTGTCCGCCAGCGCCTCGTTATATAAGCCGCTCTTCCACACGCTATTGCTGGCTGGTTCTGTATCTGACTTCCCAACCGTCCATGGGCTCATCAACATTCGGGTACTATTGCCACAAATCCTGGTAAGATGACCTTCAAAAGTAACAAGTTCATCTCCTGGTTAACAGTGAACAGCATATCCACACGAAGCCTCTACTCCTGTAGTCTTAGAGTTCCAAAATGTCAACGCCACACAATCCGAAACAGCCAAAGCCATCGTGGGAATGCCCCAATGCGGGATGTGCTCCTAGAAGTATTACACTCAATTGGGGATCGCCATGTCCAACATGCA